TCTACTTGTCTAGTTATCCTCAATTTCTTATCCCCAAATTCAACTCTCTACAAATTCTTTAGCATACATTTATAGTCGTTGATAATTACTAACATGAATGATTTTTTTGTGTTAATGTTTTTCAATATTTTCTTGTTTGTGTGAAAGTTTTGACATTTAAGTCAAGTTTAGAGTGTTAAAGTAATAATATTTCAAGCGCTATAAATAAAAGCCACTTTAAAACGCTTTAAGGCATTTAGAGATGCTAAAGTTTGTCTTCTAACATTATGGATTTTGAATCCTTGTTTAACATGATTATTTAATATAATATATTGTCTGTTATTAATATTATAATTAAAATGTTAAAAAGTGAACATATTGTTGTTGCTTTGAAATAGATTGAGAAATTCAATTTGAATATGACAAGTATACTATTAAGAAAGAATATTGCTACATGTACATCAAAATTTTCATAATTGATTATATAATATCATATAGCACTCTTTCATTTGTTAGTTTAAAGTACAATCAACTTGTATATCCAATATTTTCCTTTCACATGATATTATATAATCCATTATGTACATTTTTTTATGTACAAATAGCAAAATCCTTAAAGAAATTCCTGCTCAAATGGAAGTTAAACTTACATTTTGTAAAAAATTGACAATTCATAAAAATAAAAAAGGCACTTTGATAAAAATATCAATGATTAGATAATACATTGGGTCGAAGAATCTTTTAGAATTAATTATTTCTTATATATAGTTGACCAAGCTCTTTCTTCGCTTAAGTTAAGGTTAGAAGCAATTTCAAAAATTTTAACTTCGTTTGATTTTTATAAACTTGCAGACTCCATATGGTAATTGTTTGAAATGTTGGTGTGATAAGTTTGAAGATTTTTTGAGCACGACGCTAGTTCTTATAATGATAGGCAAAGGTTATTTTTGAACGGTAAATCGTGAGAAATTAAAATAATAGAATGTTGGTTTCCAAATGCGTGTATTGTTTATGGAATATTATTAACTATACTAATTACAGTTACATACGTCGAGAGGAGTTTCTCGGAATTAAAGTTGATAAAACCCTACCTTTAATCAACAATGTGACAATAAATATTGAATGAGTGTCAATTAAAAATAAGTTTTGAAACACATTGGTTTTAATAATAGAATTGTTAATTTTCTATCAAAAAATTCTAAAAGAATTAATTTAATTTAAACATTTGAAAGTTTTAGATTATTATTTTTGTAACTTTGAATATTTTTAATTACATAAACTTATTATTTTTAGTGTTATATATTTTTTAAATAATTATAGAGGTCCATATTTAGAGTTGACTTAATGATCCCCTGTTTGGAGCATATTTTTGTTCCAAGAATGCATTTTTTTGGTGGGGGAATATGTGGTTGAAAAAAAAAAGTTGTTAATGTGATGGAAAATATTATTTTATTGAAGAATGTGTGGTTGAAAATGAGTATAAGAATGAGAATGACAAAAATAATGTGACTCAAACAGGGGCTGAGTATGATGCCAAAAGCTTCCAATGCACACTCTCTGACATTCTGCCCTGTCATCTCTAGATGCACCCCTCCTAGGTAGCTTCCTTCTTGATCATGTACATTAGAGAGTGCACTCAGATCGGCCTGTCAAGACAAGCAACCAATTAGTCCCTTCGCAATTCCTTACTACTTCTATTTGCAGGATATATGACGAAGAGTGAAGAAAGAAAAAAGAAGAAGGAAGGAAGAAGAAGAAGTAACTTTGGGTTTCTAAATATGTTTGAATAACTCGTAGTTAAAAAAAATGGTTAACATGACTAGAAAGTAACACATTCCATACTATCGAAATACGATCATGCTACTTGTACAAAGTGGCTTGACAAACTAGGTTTA